TGTATCCAACTTATTCCCAGGAGTGGAAGTAAAAGGAACAAGAAATATGCAATAAGGTGCCACCTTTGTTATGAATCTGTGCAAGATGCAAACATCTAGGCTAAGTGCAAACATGTGGGAAGTTAAAATGGGTTCAAAATTGCTACGTTATTTAAACTTAGCTTGTACCAGTGCTGACCTTACACTTAGGCTAGGGAAAGATATTACACACAAACTGGTTTAAGTGATCAGAAACTGGTTTAAACTTGTAACAGAAAAGATGTTCAGTGCACATAAACCAGTTTGAAAATGGCTGAAACCAATTTGAGATTGGTTGAATGTAGTACTGATTTGGGTCAAACCTGTTTATGCAATGTCTGTCCCAGACCCCTTGCTGGTTTAAGATAAACCAGACACCACCAGCATCCTGGTATGCTCTGTGGGCTGGGTGGGGTGCTCTGCTCCACAGCAGGGCTGGCCCCTCCCCCTTGCTCCCTGGTTGCAGCTCCAGCACAGACTGTGGGCTGCTCCCCACCCCCACTCTCTGCTAAGCAGGAATTCCTCCCTCCCCTCTGTCTTGCTGAGAAGGTGTCTGTATATTAGCTACCAGATCACATGCTGAATCAACAGGCAGAATCAACCAGTAGCTGGTAATGTCCCTCTGTTGTTTTCTTAATGGGGTGATAAACACTTATCAATTCCCTGCTGGGCTAATCAAAGCGTCTGGCTATGTCCCCCCTCAGCTCAGTGCTGTGGAAGGGATGGAAGAGCTGCTCTAGCATCCCCCCCCCTCCCCCCGCCAGCTTTTAGCCTAAGCCACTGCAGGATGTCTGTGCAGTTACAAACCAGTTCAGCCTACCCAGGTTAGGCTAACTTGCAAAGACTGAATCAATTCAGGCTCAGGCTTTTTGAATATTTGTCCCTAGCCTTAAAGACCCAGGGTCAGTAACCAGCAATCAGTCTAAACACACAACTTTACACAAGTTTCATGCACAAAAACTGGTCTAAAAATTGCAGAACCCAGTTTAAGATAAACCTGGATCTATGTAGTATCAGGCTCATTTAATTTAGGTCAAACTGGTGCATGAAACTACTGTGCACATTCTCTGCCAGCCTTAGGACCGGCAGCTAGAGTACTGCGTCCAGTTTTGCCCCCCCCCCGCCCCTGGAGGGAGGTGGATAAGCTTGAAAGAGTACAAAGGAGAGCCACCCACATGATCAAAAGCCAAGATAGCAAGTCTTACAAGGAGGGGCTGAGGGATATGGGACTCTTTATTCACTACTGTGCACATCCTGTGCCACCCCTGGAGAAGAGAAGGCTCAGGGGGGAATTGGTGGCAGCCTATAAGTACATAAGGGGTTTGCACCAGGATATGGGAGAACAGTTGTTCACCAGGGCTTCCCAAGGGATAAAAAGGTCTAATGGCCATAAACTTCTGGAAGGCCAATTTAGACTGGACATAAGGAAAAACTTCTTTACAGTCCGAGTGTCCAGGGTCTGGAACAGACTCCCCACAGACGTAGTGCAAGCAACTACTCTGGACTCATTCAAAAGGCATTTGGATGCATATCTTCATGGGATCATTTGACCCCAGTAGACTTCCTGCCTATGGCAGGGGGCACGGACTTCATCTCATGAGGTCCCATTCAGCTCCTAATGTCTTTGAAATCTATGAAAACCCAGCCACTGGTCCTAGCCTTGGGGCTGCTCTTTTCACACACCCCCCCGCAAGCCACTCTGGGTGCAACCACTTTTATCTGTGTTCACTGCTGCTGAGCCAAGCAAGTTAGTCCTGGTGGAGGGGGGGGCAGGAAGGATGGGGGTGTAGGTTCGCTGGGGGTGAGTGGGGAATGGGATCCCTCATCCCACCCATGACTTGCATCTGCCCCCTACCCCACCTGTGGGTTGCATCTGCCTCCAACCCCCAGACAGACCCCCGATACCCTTCAGCCTGCTGGACCCCCAATCCCCTGGATAGCCCCCTTCAACCTGATTTACCTGATATTGGTCAGCCATTTTGAATTGATTTAACCTCCCCCTAATACTGCCAAATGTCTGTACTTAGCCCTGGAGTTTAAGTCAATGGAAGCCAGCTCCCAAAGTACAGAGGGGAATGTGCACAGAGCCTCTTGTTTTACTTTTCTACAGGCCAGCTGGTAGCTGCAGTTCCTGCACTCTCCTGAGGACAAGGACCATTCCCAGGTGCTTCAATGAATTGTCCAGTGGAGATGACAAACTGTGAGAGGAAGTATACCTCCCCCTGCAAGGGGATGCTTATTCTACAGGCTGGTAATCTCTGAAATGCACTGTAGCTACCTGACACTGGCCTTAATTGCAGCAGTCTCTATTTGTAGAAATGGGAAATGAACGGAAAGATGTATAATGAATGTGAAGTGCCATGTTATACTAGATTCTGGTATGAATGAAGAGATAGATACCTCAAAGGAGGCTCACAATAGGTCTACCACCACATGTTCTTGTGATGGGGGATTTGTCAAGCCTGCTTCCTCCTAGTATGTCTCTAGGAACTATGCACCCCAGAACATAGTGCTCTTTGGACATACCTCATGTGCACCCACAGAGCTCTAAAGACTGTATCCCCCTCCTCCCCCACCAAATTCCATTCTTGGGCTGGGTACAAACATGCTCTACCCCCTTGAGATATAAGTCAACCTTCTGTTGTGCTCAATTAATCTATGAACTCACCAACAATAAGCTACAGGTGTGTGACTTCAACACTAAATTATACAGAAACCAATTCAGCTCCTTCCTGACTGAATCAGAAATAGATCCAACTGGCCCCTTCAACACTGCTACAAAACATGTGTTGCTATGTGACAGACATATTAGTCACCTCTAGTGTTAGACATATGTTAGCCTAGACACAAAAGATTTGCAGAATGTTTAAGCGCAACAAAGTTACAAGAATGCCATGTCTCCATAACTTCTGTCCTGAACTTATGCAACACTAAAGGGAAAAAAATGTATTTTATTTTAAACCCCCTTCAATTCATGCTGATATCAGCAGTGATTAATAAGCTACACATACAAATTACAACAAGTGCTGCTAGTAAAACAAAGGAAATGGAAATTTACTTAGTACAGGATGCAGAAGATCTTGCAAAACAGATTAAGCTTTCAGCTTGTTAGCCTGGGGGCTGTGTAGTTTTTGAAGGCTTGTGCCATCTTTGTCTGGCAAAACAATGCCTAGTTGCCTGTAACTGAACAAATGCATCTCCCTTGTTCACTTCTGAATAGAGTACTCATGAGCCTGGAGAAGCAGGGAATGCACAGTAGGAACTGAGAGCAAAGGAACTGAATTAGAGCACCTGAGTCAACTTCATTTTCAAAACTTTGCCTCTGCTACTTTATGCAATTCCCTGCTCTAAAAATCTTAAGAACCAATACTCTCCATTATCAGGGCATTTGGGGAAGACAAAAGAAAGCCAGAACTTGTGCCTGCAAGAGTGATCGCTTTGGGTGCAGACAGACATGGGAACCCTCTCCTTCCCCCACTCAAAAACACAAGCAGCAGTGCATTACTTCAACCCAGATCTACAGCATCAGTACAGATCGGGTCCTTCAGCAGGACTTTTTGGCATTTATTTAAAAGCTGATTCAATCAGCTTTTAGATAAAAGCACCAAAAAAGCTCCACTAAAGCACCAGATCGATACAGATGTTGGGAAAGCTGGGTCCAACTAACGTGATACCTCTTTTGGGCATGTGCTGGGTTCAGTGCAAGAATTTACCGAGTTTAAAGTAAAGCACCATTTTTGAGGGTTTTTTTCATGTCTGTAAGCTGCCAATAGTTGTACTGGATTTACTCATGGGCCTATCCTGAAGTATGCTGATATGCTCTCATCAGTTCCCATGGACTTTAGTGGGAGCAGAGGGCCCTGACAACTCAGTGCAAGCAAGTACAGCACATTTTACTTAATTGAGTCATGTACTAAATTAAATCCAAATGCAGCAGGGATTCTTATCTCAATAATATTCTCTGTTCTCATCAGTCATGTTTTGCACAAGTCTTCCCCAGGACTTAAATGTTCCCACTGCCCCTTCCTAACAAGAAACTTGATTTTGAAGCACTAGAGGCAGTCTCACAAAGCCCAGATCCTTGAATCACTTCCCTGACCCTCTAGGTAGGCAAGTGGCTTCCCTCCCTGTTCAACTAAGCAGTGCAAGCATCTTTGAGAGCTTCACTGAGCAATCATATATCAACCATTTGACATGAAGACTAGACCTAGTCCTAGACCAGTGTTTCCCAACCTTTTCCAGCCCAAGGCACACTTACATTGATAAAAATGTTCCATGGCACACCTGTATAAGAATGGGGAATGCTTTAACTTATTGTAGCTCATTGCCATGGCAAAATTCTGCAGTGCCCCTGTTCATTTCTGATGGCACACTGGTTGGAAAACACTGCCTTAGACTAAGTGTCCCTGGGGCTGTATCATCCAGCTCAGAGGGCTTCCTATAGACCTATGGGGAGCCCCACAGGCTGTGGTTCTGTGCACTAGATCAGGCATGCACGGTAGCATGGGGCCTGATCCTGGTTTGCAGGGGCTGAGTGGAGGTGGCACAAGGGCCTTAGAGCCCAAATCCTGGCTAGGCAGAGCCAAAACCACGAGCACCACTGCCTTAGAGCACGTATGGACTGTAAAACTGGAGAGCTGAAGTACATGTTTGTAACAAGTTGTGGAGAAAAACCAATGTGTATTACGTGTTCAGCTGACTCCTAGGACCTAGAAGTTCACGTTCCAGACCCACTTATGTTTCTCATGTGGTGAGTACTAAGCACAGGATTTACATTTTTTGCTGGGTGGCTTGTTTCTTGCTGTGTGTGAAAGGCACCAAGACCTGGGACATCAACCACTTTTCCTCCCCTCTCAGGGCCTGATGCTTTCTGACAGCAGTAGGACTGCAAACGATACACTGAAATTAACTCTGGCTGTTCATGGTACCAAAAAGGCCTAGGCCAGTTTCTGCTCTAACAACAGCTGATTAATCAAGCGTACCTTTGCTGCCTGTGGGGTGCAGGCAATATGCACAGTGCTGGGTTTCACCCCATTTGCCTTGGTTCTTTTAAATAAAGCAAATCTACTTTTCCTTCTTCCTCTATCTCCATTTGGCAGAGAGCCATTGTATCTGTGAAAAAAGCCATAAGGAAACATATTATATTCCTATATTTATTTTAATATTTATTTATTTTATATGAATTTATTTAAATTCAAAAACCACATCATATTGCAAATAAGTTGTCTAGTAATTAATATTTTATATATATATATATATATATATATA